CATCAAGAAAATTATCTCTGAAATAATGGCTAATGCTTACGTCGAACGATGGACAGCAGACATGTACTGCAACTCAACTCTTTTACAAACCGCGGACGCCAGTTCGAAGTTAACCATTAGCGTTGTCTTTCTAAACTGTTAGGGATCACACGATTCCGAACGACTGTCTGCCACAAAAAGCGAACAGGTCGGTAAAACGATACAACCGACAGTTGAAAGCCTTACTTTTAGCTGTCAACGTACCACAGTGAACTGATGCCCTTACATTCGCGTCACTCGGTATTGTCAATGTAATAAAAGCTGAAGTTGGATACGCTGTAGAACAATTCATTAACGAAACGACATTTCAACTTGTGGGTCTTTTTTCTACTCCAGTGGATGCGAATCTAAACTTCTGCGAAATCAGGAGTACAAACACGGTGCATCCAGTCAAGCCTATTCGACCGCCTAATATTGGTGTTTTGTTCGTCGAGATTCATTAGAATGTCACCTCGAAATAGCTCATTTAAAAGGAAATCCTAATCATGTTGATCTTCCCCGTGTACAGTCGAACGATATGAACTTCACAGTTACGATACCATTTGTGATAATCTACAACCATCACAAAACTTTGCTGTCATCTGAAAATTGATCCAAAACAACGTGCCCTGAAAGAGGTGTGAGGTAAATAGAACGCTTAGGCGGCTAAATATCAATCCTTCAATCACTGAATCTTTACGCATCAGAGTATAAGCGTCTTAGAGGCGACAATCGAATGGCTTATGCCATCCTAAACACTTCTGGGCATCTCCTTAAACACCTACATAGGCTCAATCCGAATATGAAACTTAGCCGTAACACCCAGAAACTGGAGACACAGTATAGCAGAACGGACTGTAGACACATTTTCTTCTCCTTGCTACAAATTACTCGTATTTTTCTCTTTTATCACTAAATATACCTAGGATCCTACCTGACGGCATCAGTGGTCCACCGCTAATAGATACGGAAACCCGTAAAGCTTCCATTGCATCCTGAACCACTTGCGGTCATTCGTCATTGGACAATTGACTAAGAATCAGTTAACATTGGCGGCGTTTACACACAATGTCACTCTGGAGGTTAGCAGGAATAAAGTATGTTGTATCTGTTATTATGTAGTCACTTCCTCCAGTTACATAAGATACTCCTCAATTTGTGCGAAAGCTGTTAGAGAATGCTTGAAAAGTGAACACAAGGTCGATGCATCTAAACGAGTTGGGAAGCATGTAAAAGTAACAAATTGGAAAGATGGAAAACCGATTAGTATCCGTTCATATTTTAAAAGTTTGATTTTTAGAAAATGTGGCGTAAGAGACGGTGTGTATGGTTATGATTCCAACATTTATGTGGGTAGTTGAAGTAATAAATCAACCTTAGAATTTAATTTGATAGCCAAATGTATATGTTCTCTTCAAAGTTGTCTTTGTTGTTAATTGACTAGATCTGACACCCTACAGTGGTTAACAACTAGACTTGGTAGCCCGGAGGAATTATCTACGTGCCGCTATACATCTACCCCCCCGAGAGTAGTATTTATTTATTTATTTAAACACATAAATATTGGTACAGGAGGGCACCAAATATATATGCGCCACACAAAACAATGAGAATTTGCAGAAAAGGAAAAACAAGGTAAGGAGCGTAAAAAAACGATAACGAATAGATTAGTGTAAGGTGGTGTAATAGTAATAATGTGGGAAACAGAAACGTACACTCAGAAGAGATCTTTCAATTAAGGAAGAAGCAACCACTTTTTATGAAGAAAGTAAAAGGCTACAGCAGGATCGCCACTGGCTTCTATTCTGAGCCATATCTGATAACGTCTCTACTCGAGAACGTTTAGATAGAACCGAATTTCCACCATAGACGAGCTGCTGTATAAGTCGAAAAATAAGGATAGACAGAGTAGGAATAAACGAGAGTGAATAAATGACGTAGTAAATAATAAGAATAGTAATAATAATAATGTGAATCGTTTGATTAATAGTTGTAGCAAGAAAAGTATTTTCCATAATTATCGACAGTTCATCATATTTGTGTGCGGGCTGTGATACTGCTCAGTTGCCCAGACCGAAGCAGGTGGTTATCTTAGGGGGCCACACCCCGAGCCTTCGACCTGAAGGTCTGATCCACAAGGCGGTGGAGCATCGTGAAGAGATGCCGTCCCATGGTAGCCGGTGACCGAAAATTGGTTCATGTGCCATTTGTTCCCTCAGGATACTGGAGCCCATGTGCACCATTGGTTTGGAAACCGGTTAAAGCGCCGGACATTCGCTTTTCGTCCCCTCATTTTCGTAACCAACACCCCCGCCACGAGAAGGCAATGAGTAGGACTTCCCTGGCAGAGGCTGTATACGCGTGGCCATGTGAGAGCATTTCGAGAGGGAGGGCGGACTTTCCCCACTCTCGGCCATACCAGGGCATTCGGGGGCGAGAGTAGTATTTATTTAAGGTCCATTCAGTTTCCGTACGCAGTTGGTGGTACTGTTCAAAACCATCCCCAGTGGATCATGTACTCTTACTCATCTACTAACCCTAAATCCTGAGTTGAAGCTTACTCTATTCGTTATATTACGCAGTTTAATTCTCCCTGAATCGTGTGCGATCTCCTTTTAGTTGGATATTGCTACAACTCCACTACCCATTATGGGGATTTTTATCTTTCTCCACTTATGTGGCAGTTCAAGCCAGTGTGCATTTACTCGATATTGCCCTGTTTCTGGCCGACTTATCATAATTCCAGAAGCCCAAGTTGAACAAGGAAATTATTTTATATATTAAGGGAATCGTAACGTTAGTGATAATATATCAAGCCTTACTTAGCTTATATGATTACTATGTGGGGGTTTCTGTCAAAGAAAAGCCACTACAATCAGTTAAATGTAAAAATGGCTTTAATTTCCAGGAAACCTAGTCTACTTCGTCTGGTCCTAAATAGTGCGGTACTGAGCTCTTTGTCAAGGCATAATGTTTGATGTTATGTAAAATAGGAGCATTTGGGGGCATGCCCCCAAATGCCCTGGTACGGCCGAGAGTGGGGAAAGTCCGCTCTCCCTCTCGAAATGCTCTCACATGGCCACGCGTATATAGCCTCTGCCAGGGAAGTCCTACTCACTGCCTTCTCGTGGCGGGGGTGCTATTTACAAAAATGAGAGGACGAAAAGCGAATGTCCGGCGCTTTAACCGGATCCCAAACTGATGGTGCACATGGGCTCCAGTATCCTGCGGGAACGAATGGCGTATGAACCAATCGTTGGTCACCGGCTACCATGGGACTGCATCTCCTTACGATGCTCCACTGCCTTGTGGATCAGACCTCTAGGTCAAAGGCTCGGGGAGTGGCCCCCTAAGAAAACCACCTGCCTCGGTTTGGGCACCCGGGCAGTATCACAGCCCTCGCACATATCGAATAAGATCTGTGTGGCGCATATGTATTTGGTGCCTTCTTGTACCAATATCTATGTGTTAAAATAATAATAATAATAAAAATAGGAGCATAAGTCATGTGGCTGTTGTTCGGCCGCTAAATAAAAACCAGGTAAAAATGATGCGAGCTGTTTGGACAAAAGCACAAATTATGACGAGGTCACTTTAAGTAAGTTCTGTATGTGCAAGATGTGCCTATTTCCTTAACCCAACCTATATCGGTCATCTACTGTTTGCGTTCGGTATACGTAGATGCCTCATTAAGCCGAGAGTTCGGTATGTTTCGTGCCTATTTCAACGATGTCGTTGCCGCTTCAGCAGACTATAAAGTATAGAGTCGTCGTTGCGCCCTAGTTAGTGCCTAACTAGTTTGTTTCAAAAAGTCCTGGGGTTCATTACTCACAAATTTAGCTCATAAAAACTTATAGGTGTCATTACCAAGGTTTGATTTGATAATTTCGAATAAATTGAGCATTGGGTTGATTGTTATAAATAAAAATATATATTTGTAATATCCCAATGAGTAGAAAATTGGATTTTTTGACGTTTCGTGGCTTAGTGTAAGTCACTTCTTCAGAGAATAAATAACCAAATTAAAATTAATCCAAGTTTAAATAGTACAACGGAACTATTTAAACTTGGATTAATTTTAATTTGGTTATTTATTCTCTGAAGAAGTGACTTACACTAAGCCACGAAACGTCAAAAAATCCAATTTTCTACTCATTGGGATATTACAAATATATATTTTTATTCATAAAAACTTAGTTGTTTTTTTCGCGTCGACTGATAGCTAGGCACACGTCAGAAGATATGTAGATCAGAATAAACATTATTTTCTACCTTCAAATATTACTACCCGTACTGAATGCATAGTCAACTTTTCGAAGCCAAAAGTCAGTACCTGCGGGCAACAAAGTCCGGTTGGTATACACAATCGTAATTATGGGGATAAGTTTACGAAAGTATCACATCTCGGTCTAGCTTTTATTTGAAATCAACGGGTATGATGGCTGTACATGTCGCCTCAGCCTTTTGGTAGGACAGTTTGGTGAAATCTTTCAAATTGCAGCTTACGCTGACTCAACTAACAGCATATACCTCGCCTTTGTGATTAAATGGTTGTACAAATATTGATCTTCGGATACCTGGCAAAATAAATCCCATTTGTGAATATCTCAATAGGTGAAGTGATTACGGTCCTTCACAGAACGATATTGCAACTAGGTATTTGCGTAATTATGTTGTAGTATTTCTACCTTGGAGTGCTTTATCATTTGTACGGAGATTTTGGTAGGCAAGTATGTGGAGTTTTAAAAACCGTATTTATCACCTCACTGTAAGTGCTGTTTATTTAGAAGTAGTCAGCAGTACGAATTGTCCATCAAAACTAGAATGGGCTTCTGGGTATTCAACCTACAAGTCAAATATGATGATACCCAGAGGAACAAGTATTCCTATCTTCAAAATAGGGGGATCTCGATCACTTTTTTCCCGGTGGGTGCTTTCGAAACTGAAGATACTGCATTTTACTTTAGTACTAAAACTACATCGACTTTACGTATAAAATAGTTTTTTATTTGGGAATAAACGAATATTTATAAAAAGATTATTTTTTTTATTTAGCTTTTAATAGTTTTAACAAATTCATTCGCAAATGGTCCGGGGCAACATCTATGGGTGTTCTGCCATCCTAAAAAAAACAGCACATAATATACTGATTTAACAAAATGAATCAAATACGCATGTAACAAAACAAGTAGTCTAGGATTTACGAGCTACTATGTAGTAAGCCAATCTATTCGTTAATACTACGGCAGGGTACTTTGACCCATGTATATCTTACTTGGATTCTGACTTATTTAAACCCGTCTAACTTTTTTTACTAAATGATCTTGATGTCTTGTCTTAGTAGAGTATCGATACAGCTGTGAGTTATTTAAGTCTTGGCTTTAGTATTTTGAAGGAGTCAGCCGTGGACATTGAAGTGCTAGTGGAGATCTCGAGTAACGGCCGTCAATTCTATGGAAACAGCCTGAAAAAGGCCTTCATAGTGTCGGTTCCCTATGTTCTATTTTAGCAGTTATTCATGTACTTACTAGGAGTTTAGTCACAACGTTCATTTTCTTAGAAAGGAGAAGTGCTTAATTACGCTATGGTAGTGAAAAATAATGTGTCGATGTGAAGGAGTAAGAACGTCTAGTAAATAAACAATTTCTATCTGACTATTTTAAGATTATGCTGATACCAATAACTCATCATATCTGTTTTAACTTGTTAGGTAACTCCAAGAATTCAGTTGTTGTTTGCTATGTGGATAAATAATCCTTATATTGTTGTCTTTAGGTATGTTTGGCACGGATGATCGAAGCTTTGGATTGATGTACAGTAAAAATTGTGACTAGGATACAGAGATTCATTATATCAAGTAGGGTTAACATCTTCGGAATTCAGAAAACAGATTAAGACACTAAATAACGTTTCAAGGAAGAAATATTTTATGGTAGTTTTGATAAGTTGTTTTAATTTACACGGGCAGATGTATCTAAAGTGACATGACGTTGAGCTTAATCGAGATAAGTATTCATAGATAAGTGCTTATGCATGAATTGGAGGTTTTTGCAATTAGCCACAGTACAGTTGTGGTTATCTGGAAAAGTGCAAGCGTATTACATAACTAAAGTCGATGACCAAGAATAGTGATATCTCAGGTAGCCTAATTGAACTTTTTAGAATTATAGGAATTTGACACCGTTTTAAAATTGGATATCAATCTAAAAACGTTTGGTTGTTATCTAATATTTAGTGACTTATCATTGAAATAAGACGAAAACCAGTACGTCGCAACTTTTGGTGCATATTTACTTCAAAACACTGATCAACATAATAGTAATTGCCTTCACTCTCCTCAACAAATAGATGTATGGGAAGACTTTTTAGATAAGTGCATGGACATAACCTGATTGCCGGGATGAAATGATAATAACCACAATTAGGTCACAGACTCATAGTAACTACATAAATCACGGGTTATTTTCGAGTAATACATCAGATCCACAGATTATTTTTAATTGATATCAACCTTAACACTACAGTTGACAGGATTTTTTTAGATTAGTCTGGTGCGTACCATACATTTGGTAGAGACAGACAGCTCTTTAGTTAAAGTCTACTATTATTACCTTGCCTTTAGTCGGTATAGGGATTACAGACTGTAGAAGAAATCTTGTTCGACTAAAGTGTCACATACTCTCGCTTAAGACTGGGTAAAGCATGTTATATTGTGGTGTGTGCTACTTATATTGACATAAGTAGTATATGATGTTTGTCGTAAACAAAAGGTCTGGCAACAGAGAGACATGAGGATCGAACAGTAAAGAATGGAAACAGGATGCAATTTATATGAAAATGCAAGAACAATGAAGTCTGAGCCATTTTAAGACAATTGATGAACATTTTGCAAACTAAGCATTTACCTTATGATTGTTAGATTTTATTAACAAGTCCTGTAATTTTGTGTTAAATACATTCGATTGTCCCCACTGGTGTTCGTGTTCACTACAATATGATAGAAGTGTAAACTACTAGAAGGCGAAAATGGGTTTGGTAGTAGATTCACGAAGTAATCATTTTTATGCTACTATTGCACTGATTTGACAGTTAGTATCTTTATGTGATTTTTGTAGTACAGTACTTCATATATTTAGCCGTAAAATATTAGCTGACTAGTATGTTTAGGGTCAAACATCCATATCTCATCTCGATAATCTCGGAACCATTTTTGGTGTATTCACTTATCTACACAGGAATAATAGAGATTATTTTACCAGATGATCAATACATGAGAAAAAGCCTATACGTTCACTAGACTTACTGTATCTTTATGATTTATAGAGGCACCATAATTCATTAGTAAAGTTGCAGCTTGGAAATTGCCTTCTTCGCATGCATAATGTCTATAATAAACAAGTAAAAAAGACATGGTATTGATGCATAACAAATAATGTGATTTTTCCATAGTAAAAAGAGGTGTATGAGCAAAATTAATTCTACACTAAAAAGTTAAATGTTTCACGATAACTAGTTTAACAACTGGACAGCGGTGGCTCTAAGCTTTCACTCGATTACAAAGCTAAGTTTATCAGTTTTTCTAGTCAGTCGTATTACAGTTTAACTAACAACTAAAAACCACAAAATACTATAAGAAATATATCTGACTAGTTGGTTTTCTTTATGAGTTTAAATGAAGTCAAAATGACAATTGAGACAATAATGAGTTCATATTTCGTGGTTTCTCTTCAGCTCTTTATGATTGTATTCGTATTAGTGTAACGATGAGATGTAATATGAAGTAACAAAGATCAGTGATGGAATGATAACGACTGTCAATTGTGTATATATTATAATGCATGTGTGAGGTTGTTCGAAGATGGAATTCAAAAACGGGTGAGGCAGTCCAGAAACTGGTAATCTCACTTGTGCAATTATTATGGGTTTGAAGGATTTAAGAACATTTGGAGGTATATGTAGAAAATGTGGAGCGGGGATTTGGTAACTGTCTAGAATTTGATACTAAGTAATGACTATAGAAATTTCGCAAAGTTTTGACGATTGGGTTAGTGAAAAATGGACAACACATCATTTTAGCTTGGATGTAGTAACTTAGCCTAGCGAGGATTGCCGCATAAAATAAAAGCAATTAAGGTGATTTCAGTCAAAAATGTGGATTTACCGAGGCAATGTATTGTTAACGCCAACAATATACCGCCTGTCAAATGCTGAGTTGTTGTACTGTTTAGACTTGTACATTTCAGTCTGAAATTCTTTGGGACGTGTTCGGAAATGCGAATACATACTCTTGTTTCCTCTATAACTCGATTTTAAGCCCCATTCAATGACGTCTAGTAATAGCATTCAGTTACCCCAAAAACGGAAATTAAGTGAAGTTCGAAACACGATCTGTCAGTTTAAAACCGAGTACATTAACTAAGCTGTTTGTTTTACCAAGGCTTTACAATCTTATTTGTAATATGTATTATATTGCTCACCTTTGGAAGGAGAGTTTTAAATCATGGAATGGAAAATGTGGATGATCATATCCCAGTTCATTTGTAGATGAATCGGCAATTTGTTGATATGCTACACCATAGAATAAAACGTTTTTATGACTCGTAAATGAGAGGCTTTTCACTGAAACTACAATAAATACATTATAACTAATCATAGGTTCATGAAGTCGATCTTCAGACATATTCGTGTTATTACTGAACTATTCAGATCAAAGTATATGGTATGCGGATTAGTTTTTGACATGTTAATAAATAATTAAAATCATACGGTTTACGTATTTCCTAAGAAATGGACTTTTACCATATGTAAGACTATTTTTATTCTAATACTTATCAACCACGGTAAGATTTGTCAAACTTCCGGTAGGATTAACAACATAATTACACAAATGAAGCCATGACAACGAAACGATGGAAGTTTAGTGGTTGGTTCTAATCAATACGTGACAATCTTGAACATTACTCCAACCGGTTTGGAGAGCTGAGTCAACAAAAGAATCAAAAGCTCTCAAACAAAATGTAGCTAAGAGTTTGTGATATAGTTCTAAAATCGGTTAGTGAGTCAGACTATTTTGATATGGTAATGCGAAGAAATGTTATTTATGGTTTACAATATATAATATACTAAATGATGAGTGAAATTAATGAAAACTTATTATTCTAAACCTATTAGAACTAGGATTGACACTAGTTTATTACTTAATCATAATAATATCAGTACATGGTTGTGGAGAATGCCAATTTTTAATTGAGGTCATGAACTGATCAATGTTAGACCATGATTAAAAACCTGGAAGCACTGGATAGCTGTTGTGTCGTGATATGGGACTCGTCTGTAGTACGTATCCACGATCCCGCAAGCGGGATTTGAACCGGGGACCTTCGATTATGCGCTCAATGCTGAGGAGTCCCATACCTGGACGAAACGGCCATCTAGTGGTCTAACGTTGGTCGGTTCATGTTCTCAATTAATAATAAAAATAATACTCTGATAAATTGTAAGTAAAACTGTACAGCGTTACTAATTGTTTTGGATTTTACAATCATTTGAGTACAAATTGATGTATCACCCAAAATAATATGGAATTATGGAGATGAAATGAGAAGTGATAACGTAACCACTAGTTATTAGATGTGCAACAAACGTACAAAGACATTTAGGCGTAACTACTTTCTTATTTTTCCCCTGTATATACTTGAATGGTGAATCACACTTGATGACGACTTGAATTTGAAAATTTTATATAAGGAGGCGAGACACTAATAACCGACAAGCTTATCGTTTATGTTATCATGAGATGACTGATTTACTAGAATATTTATAGTGCCAGTAGACAGTAATGACTTTTATGAACTGGGATGTGTAATAGCGTTGTCCCAAACAATCAATCCGGTGTTAGAACTTTGTAATAAATCGATGTAAATGTAAACCGTGTGTTTAAATGTCGATAACCGGATTATTTGAGTAATAAATTGTCAGTAAAGACAAATAGATGATCATACAAAAGCTAAAAAGTACGAAACATTTGTTTTTTATGCTCAAGTTCAGTAAAAACCTGTTTATTCGTATAGCAGAATAACATGATGCTAAACACAACTTAGCAGATGATAGTTATGTAAAAAGAACAGAAAGTGTCGGAGACAGATTCTTGTTTATTTATAAGCGGAAACTTACAGAGGTGTTTGGCCTTGTTTGTCAGTTAAATCAACAAGCGTTGAAAACAGTTTATTGCAGCCTTCTTCATTACCAACATCATTTTCAGTGATTGTATGGTCTAAAAGATGTTTGGCTATATCTAGGTTTTCTGTAGCGATTGCACGATGAAGCGGTGTAACTCCTCCCCAATCTTTTACGTCTGGTTTAGCACCAGCATTTAATAGCTGTTTGACTAACTGGAAAAATAATGTTAGGAATGTAATTTTGAACTTGTCCGTTTAGTATAATTAAGAATAACATCAGCTTGGGACACCAAGAATTATTAAAGAGAATAAAGTTATTTTTATTATTATTATAAGAATTACCAGTAGAAATTCGACAGCAGCGATGTAACTTTCAAGTGTGGTCGGACTTCGAAACGTCTATGCAATAGTAGACATAGACAATTTCTTGTAGGGAGACTAAGTCTCCACTTCTATCCAACATGCTATTTTCATGATACCGTAAAATATTGATATCTCTTCTATATTCGTTTTAATACTGAACAAGGACAGCAATAATTAGAGAAGTCACTGATCGTTAGGTTAAAGGATTTAGGAAGATGCGATCTACTTATGACTACAATGAAAATGAGAGGAAAAGAATCGGGAGCAGTTCAACCGGCCAAACTTTAATTACGCACTAACAGTTACCATCGAATCGGATCTCAGACATCATTGTATGACATACAGCTCTATAAGGTTGTTGAAATTGCTTTTTGAATAAATCCCTCATGGAATCGAACAGGCTTTCAGACTGATGAAGGTTCAATTAATAATTGGTTAGAACGATGCCTTAGAGTGATCGGATTAAGCTATATTAGTGAGGAATGACATTTTTATTTAGATTCGCATAATTAAAATAAGTATATCTAGGTATATGGAAATTATATTTTAGATAGGACCCCGAATGAGAAAACTTATATACATAAGCCACATGATAATGCAGTGAATATATTTAAAATATACGGAAAAATACTCACCTGAAGACGATTTTTAGAAGCACAATAGTGAAGACAGCACTGACCTGTCGAATTTATTACATTTACATCAGCATGCTCTTGCTCTATAAGATATGAAGCTACATTACCACGTCCAGCGGAAATAGCAATCATAAGTGGAGTCCAGTTAGACTAAATAAAATAATAGATGAAAAATATGATGATCTACAATGTTTTTTATGATGATACAGACCTTTTAAATGATCTTAAAATTCATGAATGCTGATAACATACCAAACATATTTTTGAAAGACTCAAGTGTCGTCAACAATTTTATCAAACTTGAGGATATTTAAACAGAAAAACAATCCTGAAAAGGTTGAAGCTAAGCAGAGTCACTCACATCAGCATACCTATAATGAAGTTGAAAAAGAGTAGTGACAGTAGAATTGCTCGATAACACTACCTATTATTGCCACTTTGCATGAAAATTTCCCATGAACACCTATATTATTAACCATCAAAAATTGCCTACAGCTTTAGATGTGGAACCTGGTCTCTTATAAAATATCCCTGTACGATTGGGCGCTAACAGTCTCTAGGGGTTATCCTGTACACTGCTTTCACGAGGTTCCAGTTCAACGAGTGTGAAAAGTTGGCAAATGGTTCACAAATCAGATCAATGAGCATAGAATTTGCTTGAAGAGGAACATTTATTGTAGTTTAGATGCTCATACAGTATCACAACTCTTACAGAAAAAAAACATGGATGAAGTTCCTGCTTTGGCTTATGAAGACATGCGAACCAAATATTTTGTCACTCAAAAATTAATCTTAGACTAGTTAGTGCTGATGAGTTGGTTTTTTTGACGTTTGACTATTAATATTGACAGAGCCTAAATAATACTAGGTCCTCCTTACTACAAGAGTTGTTTATATCATGGTGAGATGAAAGTTTCGCTAAAAGTAAGGAGTGACTAGCGAACTAATATATTTCAACGGGGATAGAGCAAGTATACTTTGTCAAAATAACGTACTACTAAAACCACTGTTTTTTAATACACCGAAAAAGAACTCTGTTATTTTTTATAAATGAAAAACTAAAAGTATTCAAGTGGACTTAAACATACTTATTACCTGATCTTTGCAATCTTTATCGAAACCTCTAGTCAGAAGAACTTTCACCAACTCTAAATGACCCCCACAAGCCGCCCAATGAAGAGGATTTCGCCCAGCCTGCAAGTATTGAGTCCAGAATTAAAAAAGTTAACAAAATAACCTGGTCAACAAACGACTTTTCGCCATCTGATCCCAATATTTTTAGTACTGCGGTAACAACCCCATCGTACGCAAACCGGCATACTGCTAAGTCAGACATTAAAATTTAGTCAACTGGGCAGCTTTGAGCTATAAACCTGTAATGAAATAGGACAGATGGTATGTTAGCAAATGAAGCCAAAAAATATTAGCAAAACAACCCACCTTTTATCGCAAAATATTATTTCCACAAAATTCTCGAACTTTCAAGACAGTTGATTTAGTTAAATAAGAACTACTTAGGTAGTGGTTTAATTTAAAAAAATAGCCTAGAACCAAGAAAGTAGCTTGATCTTATTCCACCACAAAACGAGGTTCATAGTTAGTGATTGTTGCAATATAGACAAGTGTTAGATCACATCGCCTGGTCAAAAAAGGAAGTATTACAGCAAACAGGTGAGACTTTGTGGCTGAATCTTGCAAACACTTGCCCTACAGCAACACTATTAGTGATGGACTAGTAGAATGGATACTGTGCGAATTATAATTTCGTCACAGAATGGTTTAGATTATCTATCAAATAGTATTTTTATAGACAGCATTACTGACCACGATTTGTGAGACAACTATATTCCGTGCTTTTAAGTGATATGGCTTAGCAATGATGACAGTAGAGGAGATGAACCACGCCTTTCGCTGGATTTTGAATATGGTATTACTCTTTTAAGTGAACCTGGCTTTTTTTGATCGCTTAATATTGTCACTAGTTTTCTATTGACGTCATTAAACAAAGATAGTATTTAATATCGTCAACACTCAATCATTGGAGAAACATTTATCATTCCTAGAGAAGTGACAGCATAACACTTTGTTGAAATGCGTCATCAATCCCAAACTTTCCTCAGTTCTGAGGATTTTCCTCGAATTTCTAAATTATTTAGGGAAAATGCACTGTAGTACATTTTATCGTATAACCACCAGTTAGAAGTGCGGCATAGCGACAAACCACAATATCAACTTTGTAGTATTGTAGATTGGCTACTTAAGCAACATTTATAGACTTTAATACCAGCGATAGCAATCAAATGTATTTACCTACATTCATCTACATCAGGGATGGCTCCATCGTTTTCACAGACTGCGTGATCACGAAATGTGTGCTACGTTTAAGCAAACAGCAAATAATTCATGCAACCATTGTTATTGTAGTAGTATTATAATACGAACAAGTTAATGAATTCGACATAAGAAATTTGTACTAGGCTTTTAGAGAATACTACAGCAAAATATATTACTAGAAATAAATATTACATACATAAAAAGAACCACGAGGCACTAAAAGGTTTGAAGGAGTAGATAAGTGGGCAACGACCCAGTGGCATCGTGGTGTAACGCTATTAAAAATCATTACATATGACGTTACTAATGTGAGTCTGTTGTCCTGCAATAGGGAAAACAGTTACGGTGGGACAAGTTAAAAATACCTCAATTGTGCTTACACGACCTTGATAGGCCAAAGCGGCAGAGGGCATTTTGTATTTGAATGCTACGAAGTGGCTATCTTGATCTAATAGTGCCTTAATTATTCAGCATATGTGTACTTGTAACTGTTGGGTAGATCTTAAAACACTCTTATTGATGGATCTCTCCAATTAATATATGTTACTTTGCATTTCATAACTATGTAAGCTTCATTAAGTTTGAGAGTCGAATCGTTAGAAAAGTCTGAGATACTACTGTTGATGAGTCCTCTTCCACGTATCCGGACTTACATATTCAATAGCTTCATTCTATTCGGATTCCAGCATGGTTATCTTTGCAGTGTATCATGTTATAGAAAACTATTGTGCGGCCACGATAACTGAACTCTTTCAGCGGAACACAAATGTCGAGCGAATATTGACCTCCAGGACTTCTCCAAGACATGTAATGGGGTTGCCATACGACACAGTTGCGTGACGATGGAGATTAGTAGTTCAGGTTAATGATTTTACTGGAGTTTCGTCCTTTAGACTGGATGGTTTACTCTAGGAGCATTAGATGCCCTTCTCTGTACTCACGATTTTTGGTAGAACAATTAAAGTTTTTCGAAAATGCCATCCAGATGAGGACAAGACTCCATCAAAGACGGTTTTATATCTCTTTTCCGTCTGAAAAACATTTCTTTTTACCATCTTTTTAGGCGTTTTAGGGATTCGGTAGCTTGATATACTCCAGATTTGACTGTATGAACTTGTCTCAGCAACTCAGTGGCTGTGTAGTCTAATGACATCATTCGCTTTTATCACTTTGTAAATTTTGTACTCATAATCGTTACTTATGTAACGAGATAGGAAGTCACATAACAAACGGATGGTTGTAGCATGCAAGCAGTTACCATTCCACCAAGGAAGCGTGATGCAAATTCAGGGATACGTGGAAGAATGTGGGCTTCGAGTGGTTCAATATGAATAAAAAAAGTAACCGAAAGTTTTGAGAAAAATCTCAGGGACTTGTCTGTAGACTTTAATTTCAATTACGTCCTATCAGGAGTTTAAGACTGTCATTTAAGGGTTAGGTAATAAGAGGTCTAGTGTCCCAAATTGACTCTTTTATTTTGTCAGACTGGTGATTGTAACACACGTCCTGCATTTTAATCAAACAGGAATCAAGGGCCAGAGGCTAAATGAGATTAAAACAGAAACAAATACTGATCAGACTACTTTGAAAACTTTGGAATCATTTATATTAATGTGTCCTACGGTATAACTATTGAGATATTGAACAAACGCTGTCACATGTGACATCAAAACTGGCCTTTGATATCTCATCTGATTAAAACTTGGTAAGTCAAATTGTTTAGTAAACATATGTAGCAGGAATAATCATCAATACATCATCATTAGAATAACGCTCCTATAAGTCTATTGGCAAGAAGAACCAGATACGCATATTAGCCATGATGTAAAAATACCTAAATATGGAACTGTAGAAACGTTTAAGATTTCGCACTCTTAAGTGACTATTCCAAACCTCCAAATACCCCAACGAAGATACTTCAGTTTTTGTGCCCTCGATAAGTGAGAGCCACTTAGAAAACCGAATTCATGAGCCCAGTCCAAATTTAGTTTCCAAAATTCGCGGTACCCACAGATGATCTGGACGGTATAAATGTTTAGTGTTCACTTCAGCTCAGATATATAAAATCGAAAATGAACAATATATTTAATATAGTAACACTAGAAACCCTAATAAGCAATGCAGACGAGTGGTGCTAAATCGATGAATATTTGTACAAATATTCTTGAACGCTTCGTTCTTTAGCAACCACATTTACCGCTACAACGGCAAACTTGTAACAGCTCAGGTTGGTTGGTTAAGAGTTGACCCCAAACAACCAAGCTTATGCCAAAACAGTATTGTTCAAGTATTCATTCACTTCCTTATTTTTCATAAGCGTTATATTCCCTATTATCTTGAATGTTGAGAGCCTTTGTTTGTCTGAACAGATAATCCCACGCTCCACTGTGACTGCGCGAAGATCGAAATAAAGACCTATTCACTACTTCTCTGGTTTCTTCTATCAATAGCACGAGGGTTACCTTAAGGCACGAAACTGGTGAGCCCTTTTTGAACACAAATTTAACCTCATTTCTGTTATTAACATTTTTTTTACTTAATCGTAATAGTAGACCTGATTATCCGTAAACTAATTTGAGTATATAACTAGTTTATTCCGTATTGTCTTAAGTTATTCGTGTTATAGTAACCACTTTTTGTGCTAACTTTATTGCTATATTTGTCACATACCTCATGTCAGACTCAATAGAAACCCATAATCTGGAGGATTTGTCACCAGTGGAGATAGACACTGTTATGACTACGAAATCCCGACTTCCAGAATTTGATCGTAGTGATCCTGAGTTGTGGTTTGCTCAACTAGAACATTATTTCACGAGACACAATATCAAATCTGAAGGGATTCGCTATAGAGACTTGTGTTCTATCCTTCCTCCTTCAGTCGCCAAAGAAGTCCGTGACTTGATTTTAAGTCCACCATCACCACAACCATACACCATCTTAAGACGAGAGATAATGAACCGTTTATCATTATCAGATAGTCAAAGAATCCAAAGACTTTTTCAAGGTGAAACACTAGGTGATCGGTCGCCGTCACAGTTTTTACGTCACCTCCAAGTCTTAGTGGGTGATAACACAGTGGGTGAAGCAGTCCTAAAACAAGGATGGATACAAGCTCTCCCATGCTACGTCCAACACTGTTTGGATGCACAGGATCCTGAAACCTCATTATCTCATTTAGCGCGTATAGCCGACAGAATAATGGAAAGAGGTCCTCCAACTGGATCAGGCACAATAAATCACACACAAAAAGTAGAATCAGCAAAAGACCCCGTAATAGAAGGACTCATTGCGAGTGTTAAGAGTCTCACTGAGGCTGTCACCAGAATGCAAATGGGTCATAGAAACAGGAGCAGGTCACCACAACGACCACGATCCAAGTCACAAATGTCCAGACAATCTGGGCAGTTTTGTTGGTACCACTGGAAGTTTGGTGTCAACTCAACCAAGTGCATGCAACCATGCGCCTGGCCTAAGCATAATTCTAAGACAGCGGGAAACGAGTAACCCCTCCCCAGGTCGCGACGATTGAGGAGGGGCGCCTAAACAGTCGCTTGTTTTATGTTAGAGACAGAAACTCGGGCTTGAATTTCTTGGTGGATACTGGCGCTGCTCTTAGCATCATCCCTCGAAATAAAACTGAGATTAGTCGAGAAACATCATCAATTACACTTCAAGCTGCAAATAAAACTAAAATTGCGACATTTGGGCAGAAAACTTTAACCCTAGATTTGGGGTTCAGGAGGCAATTCCCTTGGGTTTTCACGGTAGCCGACCTAGATCTGGCAATACTGGGGATGGACTTTCTAGAGAGATACGAATTTCTAGTTGACACCAAGAAACGGCGATTAACACTAAAAGAAACTTCGTATTACACAAAAGGCAAAGAAAGTCACATCAACTCTCTTAACTTGATTCAAACTCCCCCAGTAACAACAGCGAAATTCCAAGATATACTCGCGGAATTTCCAAACTTAACTAAACCAAACCCACAGCCTTCTAAAAACAAACTAAAAGTGAGTCACACTATCAAAACCGAAGGTGCACCGGTGTTTGCAAAACCCAGGAGACTAGCACCAGATAAGCTCAAAATCGCTAGGGCCGAGTTTGATTATATGCTACAACTGGGTATCATCCGTCCCTCTGATAGTCAATGGGCATCCCCTTTGCATATGGTCCCAAAGAAGAATGAAGGTGACTGGCGACCGTGCGGGGATTACAGAGCCCTAAACCGTCAAACCGTACCTGATAGGTACCCAATACCTCATATCCAAGATTTCACCAACGGTTTACAGGGTATGAACATATTCACTAAAATTGACTTAGTCAGGGCATATCACAATATCCCAGTGGCTGATGAAGATATTCCCAAGACAGCTATTACTACACCCTTTGGCTTATTCGAGTTTGTACGCATGCCATTCGGCCTGAGAAATGCGGCACAGACATTTCAAAGATTCATAGATAACCTACTTCGAGATATGCCATTTGCGCAGGGGTATATAGACGACTTGTTAATTGCCAGCCCCGATTTGCAATCACACGAACAGCATGTACAAGCAGTGTTGAAAAGACTGGATGAACATGGAATAAACATACATCAAAGTAAGTGTGTTTTCGGTGTTCAAACTTTAGAATTTCTCGGTCACACAATAAGCCCAGAAGGGATTAAACCTATAAAAAAAGAAGTGGATACTATCAAACAATACCCCGTACCTAGTTCTCTAACACAACTGAGAAGTTTTCTAGGCCTAATTAACTTTTATCGCAGATTCATACCAGGTTGTGCACAATTAATGCAACCTTTGACAGATTCACTTAAAGGAAAACCAAAAGAATTCAAACTGTCTTCTGACGCCATCGAAGCTATTAAACAGCTTAAAGATAAACTGGCTCAAGCAACTACGTTGATATATACGAATTCTCTTTCCCCACTTGCTTTGATGGTGGATGCTTCAGATAAAGCAGTAGGCGGTACCCTTAACCAACTGGTTAAAAACGCCTGGAAACCAATTGCTTTTTTCTCGAAAAGACTTGCTCCAGCCGAAACAAGGTATTCTACCTTCGGGCGAGAACTTCTTGCAATCTACCTGACCATTAAACACTTCCGACACATGTTAGAAGGTAGGGAATTTATAGTCTTTACGGATCATAAACCACTGACGAATG